AAAATGATAAGAAATTTGGCCAAGTCTTGGTAAAGTTACAAACACTGTAGACAAAAAGATGTACATGTGTATATGGGACTACATGAACACGTGGCGTAAAAATCCTACCCTGGATTTGTACGATGTTACATGACATATTTAGAATATGGAGGCATTTGAAGAGCCATGCTTTTCAGGGAACATGTCTTATCTGATGTTCTTCCACACTTGCATAATAAGAATGATAACGCTCACAAATTATTTTTCACCTCTTCCCAGAACTCAACTTTCTCTTTAAGTTAGAGGTGTGAATGCAAGGGGTTCCAGTCTACTGAGGAGTTTTTGCACACTTCACTGGAGCTTGGGATTCAATCAAGCAATTTCCCCAGAGAGACTTATCTATTCCCCCTACAAGTCTGGAGGTCTGCACAAAATTTGATGATAATGCAGGAGCGAGGAGAGAGAGAGAGAGAGAGAGAGAGAGAGAGAGAGAGAGAAGAGAGAGAGAGAGCATGAGAGAAGAGAGGAGGAGAGAGAGAGAGAGAGCAAGAGAGAAGAGAGGAGGAGAAAGAGAGAGAGAGCAAGAGAGAAGAGAGGAGGAGAGAGAGAAGAGAGAGAAGAGAGAGAAGAGAGAGAGAAGAGAGAGAGAAAGAGAGAAGAGAGAGAGAGAGAGAGAGAAGAGAGAGAGAGAGAGAGAGAGAGAAAGAGAGAGAGAGAGAGAGAAGAGAGAAGAAAGAAGAAAGGAAAGAGAAGTAGATGTAGAAGAAGATTGAACAACCTTTTACACAAGAGGATAAGGGACTCCGTCAGGATTTCTATGTTGTTATTGACAACTGAATTTTTTCAAAGCTTTGATACTAAATTTAAAGTAGTCACCCGAAGAATCAAAAGTGTTTTGAATTGATGCAAAATTCATATCATTGTGAAGGGGAAGCCTTTCTGATCAAACATAACAATTTTCCTCTTCAAAACATGTTTGGGGCCCGCAGTAATCATCTCTCAAAAATGTTAATTTTGAGATCCAGATTTTTTGCCTTCAGCGATCCTCCCTAAAGCGTCAAGAAAATCTTCCCATCCATATATAATTTGTCCATAATTATCAGTTGTCGTGAATTTTCTTTGATTGACTACTTCGTATTTGGATGAAACTTTTCTTACTGAACTTCTATTCAAGATCATATCTACAAGGGGACATTGATGGTTCTCTTAGAAATTTTAACTTTAAAAATAATTTTTATGAGGACAGAGAACACTCTGTCAAAAGCTGTTGCTGAAAGATGGCATTCAATTATTCCAATGTCATGTAGCATAACCTTTGTACAAGTAAAATAAAATCGATTTTGTAGAGGCTGATGAGCTTTCAAGTTTAGAGAAAGTCAGTTGATCCTGTTGTAGGCAATATTAAACGGAATGTAGAAAGAGAGCAGAAAACCTTGCACCACATAACAAAATCAGGGCAGCATTTCACAAAACCGTTATAAGTACAAGTTCACCGACATCTCTCATTGGAACGCTTGTATTAAAAAGTAGCAATTGTGTCGCTGGAATGTCGGTAAACTTGTATGACAGTTTCATGAAACGATGCCCACATTCTCTTCAGTCTGATTAGAAATCCACTGTTTGATCACGGCGAGCGAGGACCATATCATTTTTCGTCTTTTTCCGACATATATCCTGATATTTCGCTTTACGTTTATTCAAATTGATTATTTCATTCCTTTTCCTCCACCTCCACCAAGAATGCCCAGGATTGTTATCGTTATGTTGAGCATCCGACCATTGAAGAGGTGAACCGCAGTTTAATACCTGAAGTGTCCATTTTGTTTTTATATACCAGTATATTTTATCCCCCTTGTGTGTTGTGGACTAATTGTTAACAATAGAAAATCTGTTTAACCGTAGTTTCAAATATGTGAGTAATAATAATACCATGACTCTGTACATAAACAGTACGTGATAAATATAAATTAATATGCGCATTGTAGATTGATTATTCGTAAATGATACAAGATACATTTACATCATGAAACCGTGAAAACATTTCATGTGTATACTGTATAGTGTGATGTGACAATAGACTTTTCTTTCTTTTATATTATCAGATATTAATCCTGAAATTATTATTTTCTTCTTTCAAAAAAAACTTTTAATTTAGTCATTGTAGACAGAATTAACTATTGACGTAAGAATTGCTGTTTGACCCCTAACCAAAAAGTAGTCCATGTAGGTTTGTAATTAACTCTTTTTCCTTTCTTTAAAGGTACCATGTCCCTTTTGCAGCCAATCTCAAATTCGGTAGAACTTTGCAGGAATTATGAATATGTCATGTATGTCCTATCTGTGAAATTTAAACGTCAGCAGTGTCCTCATATTCAAATTATGCAAGGAAACCTGTTTACTTGCTAGACTTTACTGTCAGACACTATTGAGTGACTGACTGGCTTTTTTCTTCTTTAATAATAACATTCATGAAAAGAGTTGTAAAGGGTACATGAGCATTTGTCTACATCAATAACCCACTTCTTGTGATGGCCAAGATTAAACTGATTGAATCTTTGAGCAGCATAAAACGTATGACCATTCAGTACAATTGTCTGAAAATGAAGACTATTACTTTTGGGCTCTATAGCCCTAAAGTCGATTTGACAACTAATAGTTGTTATTTTCCCACTTGAAGACATTTTCAAGCCCCACCTTTTTTAGGGAAGTTCTAAATTAGTATTATCTTTCAAATGCAGTTGCAATTTAACTTTTTCATTTTTTTGGCCTGCAAATGGGACATACCCAGGGCCAAAATCCAGTTGAAACCAATTGGAACAAAACCAATTGAAACCAGTTGCCAACTGGTTTCAACAGGGAAACTGGAACAACTGGTTCCAATTGAAACCAGTTGAAACCAATTCGACAAGGAAGGCATTACAATTATATATGTTTGTATTTGATGTATTTTGTACATGGTTAGTGTTTTACTAATCAACTTTTAGTCTGTGTAATTACAAAAATATGTTACTAATGAACATGCTTATCATTGCTTACTAATCTTTATATTTATCTAAAATAAATGCATTACTTGCAAATGAAAATTAATTAATAAATACATTGTAAATCAAAATAAATTACATAAAACATTGATCTGCACACAAGAAGATAATATGCAAATTAACTGGTTTCAATTGGATCCAGTTGGGTAACTGGAAATATTTCCAATCGGAACCAATTGGGTAACTGGAAATGAATTCTAACTGGAACCAGTTGGGTAACTGGAAATTACTTCTAACTGGAAATGAATGCTAACTGGAACCAATTGGGTAATTGGAAATGAATTCTAACTGGAACCAGGTGGGTAACTGGAAATAACTTCTAACTGGAAATGAATGCTAACTGGAACCAGTTGGGTAACAGGAAAATCATCTTACTGTTTCTAGTTGAACTTCTAACTGGAACCAGTTGGGTAACTGGAAATGACTTCTAACTAGAACCAATTGAGTAACTGGAAAAATTACCTTATTGGTTCCAGTTGCACTTCTTATTGGTTTGAACTGGAAATGAGTACCCATAAGAATATTTTCCAGTTCGCCAATTGGTTTCAACTGGAAATTTTCTATTCCAATTGAAACCAATTGAAACCAGTTGAAACCAATTGAAACCAGTTGAAAATTTCAACTGGTTTCAATTGGATCTTGGTCCTGGGTAGTACCTTTAAGTATAAATTATGAGCTACATTGTATCTCAAAGTTTGACCCGATAGTCCAATAGTGTTTGTTCATTATTCCTAAATGTTGAACTCTACATGTAGTTCTTTTTGCAAACTATATTGATGTACATACTGTAGCTGTTTTGTATCTGTCATCTGGATTTTTGATAAAAGATGTCAAGTGTAAAAAATACCTGATATTTATCACATCTGCAATTTGTGATCACTTTGAAACCACTTTATGGAGATAACATTTTTATATCAGTTGTCTCTTGAGTTGATTTTACAACAACAATAAGTAGACTTTGTACCAGCCTGCTTTGTACATGTGTTAGAGGTAATGCACTTTTTAAGCTTAACAGCAAACATGTACATGATCATCGTCTATCACCCTTTGACATTCAGATTACGCATTTCGATGAGAAAAGTGTAAGGTTTGTTGTAAGTTTGTAACACATTTCAAATTGTTATTCTTAGTGTCAGTAATTGTGGGTTTAGTTGATAATTTTCCTTTAATTTTATTTTCTGCTGTTGATATATATTTTTCTATATATTTACAATTCAAAGATTGGATGAAAGAATAAATCATTACATTTCATTAGTAGCAAATTATTATCCAATATAAAAAGGGCTATATTAAATTGAAAATTTTGGGGTGTTTTTTAATTTGTTGCTCTCTTTTTAACGTCACTTGTACCTCTGAATGAACCAGCCAGATTTGTATAACATGTACAAGGATGGTAAAGGTAGCCTTTTTAAAATAATTTTCATGATCCAATTAAATATGTATATGAATGGGTAATATGATTCTGTCTATGAAATATGTCATTCACAACACTCTTCTTTTGTTATAATACCAGGTTAGTATTTGAGCATCAGGAGAGTGTTTCACAAAGACTAAGATTGACTTTAGGTTGGACTAAACTATGGCAGGCCGTTCATGCCACTGTTTGCTCTCACCATTTACTGGCGGTGGTCTCGCAATGAATGTACAAATCATGGTCACACATCTACAGAATTCAGCTCTTTTGATAGTTCATCATTGAAGGAAAAAAATATTATCTAAAGATCATAACTGAAAGACCAATGGTGAGAGCAACCAGTGGCATGAATGGCCTGCTATATTCAAGTCCAACTTAAAGTCGATCTTAGTCTTTGTGAAACACTCCCCTGTTTTCATCAACAGATGTGGTGTGGTTCATGTCAGTTCATGTTGGGGATAGGTTGTGAATTATTTCTTAGATTAATTAGTAACATATATGGTAATGATGAAGATATTTGATACTGTAATTGTTAATGATTGATCTTACGATCTTCTTATCCGCAGGGCTGGATGAATGAGTTAACCACACCCTATGATCCGGAGACCTATCACGTCAATCAAACACATTCCATCTATGTGCGCCTCGAAGGCCACAGCCTGAGACTGTCCAAACCAAAGCAGAATATAGCCCGTAGGTCCATGTTTGACGAGCCTACACCCCGTCCAGAGTTCATTCACCAACGTATCTACGACATACGGGGAAGCCACGTGTACCTTCAACCCGAGGGTCTCGTGAAGAAGCGCTTATGGAGTAAGAAATACCCGCTATTCATAGAGTTACCAAAGAAAGGGATTTCGGTTGAGAAGAAGGATGTCTCGCCTCCGGACGATGAAGCAGCTCAGGGCTTGGGCTTTGATGTCATCAAGAAAGACGAATGCGACGACAAAGTCTTGGTGTTGTTTGCGAGGACAGGTCGTGAGAAAGAAGAATGGTTTTGGAAATTTGAAGCAGCGTCCCTCGCTACCAAGGTCCGTCCAATCCAAACACTTCACAAGAAGGTGTTTCTCATCGGGAACGACATCATCGGGGAAGACGGGAACCCGATGTACAGGGTGGACCCTGACGACATGACGTCCCGCAAGTCCATGGTGGACTTCTACAAGTTCCTTGCCAAGGTGATGCCCAAGGAGAAGGATGTCAAGGAGCTCCTCGTCCAGGACGTGAAGGCCAAGGCTGGAGGTGTGACCTACGCCAGCCCTGGTCGTCGACCAGGGAAGAGCGGATCAGAGCGGGAGATGAGTAGCATACCCGGTGCAATCAGCAACGATGCTCCGGTAGCTTGGGTCAATGCTTTTATAGGAAGGTTCTTCTGGGACTTCTTGAGAGAACAACAGTGGGCGGACCTCATCCAGACTAAACTACAAAAGAAGCTTTCCAAGTTAAAGGTAATTATAATAATAATATTAATAATTCGATCAATTTATCTTTGTAATGTATGTTATTTTGTCTTTATATGTATGTGATATTGTATGTTTTTTTATCTTAATGTTTTTTATGATGAATGAAATAAATTTTAATATCTAATCTATCCATCTATCTACACTGTATGTAACCCAATTACTGTATAAATTCTACTGCGCTGTGATGAAAAACAAAACTCTCAACAGTACTACTTTACAGACACACAATAACGAAATAATATAAAAACTATTCAAAAGCTCCTGAACACAAGGTGTGTGTCGTCAACAAAACTTTGAAGGCAGCAACAGATGAGGCTTTTCTTATAAATGTCTAGTGATATTTTATTCCAAAGCTTTGAAGCGGCACAACTGAAAGCACAATCTACCAAAGATCAAAGATAATAATTTAGGTAAAAGATAGTTTGTCAATTTCTTTATTTGAATTATTCCAGTCATTGGAATCTTTATTCTTTCAACTGAATTTAATGCAATTTTCAACTTTCCCAATGATTCATTGAAGTAAGAATCCTCACTTTGTATGTAATCATCCACTTAATTGTAAAGGGATTAGAAAATTTTGACTACTAATTCATAAAACAAATTTTGCACTGATTAAATTAAATTTCAGTGATATGTACATTTATAGATTACTGGTACATTTGCACGTGCATCAACCACACTTGTTCTGTTCCACTAATGGCGTTTTTCTTATTCCTTGTCTAATTCGAAAGGTCATCTTTTGTTAAATAAACTAATTATGATAATGATATCCATACACTTTATACTAAATAGCCCCTGGCATGCCGTGTTTCACTTCCACTGAGGTACCAGGGGTAAATATTTGCGTGAGCGCAGGTTCAGAGAGGATTTAATTAATTGAAATCATTCCACGGTTAGAGAGCAAATTGATTATTGAGATCCAACTTTACGGATAAGATATTAAACGGAAGACTACTGAATGGTGTGAGAGCATATTCAGTGAGGATTTAATTAATTGAAATCATTGCACTAGTGATTCCACAGTTGGAAAGCAAATTGATTATTGAGATCCATCTTTAATGGGTAAGATATTAACAGGAGACTGCTGAATGGTTAACTTATAAACAGGAGCAGTTCTAGAAGAAGAAATGTTTAGGGGTAGGGGTTTTGGGGGGAGCTTTTGATTTCTTGGGAATTCTTGCATTCATTCTCTGCATGTCCCTTGTATAAATTCATTTATTCTCAAGAAATTGGAGGAGGGGTTTCTTCAATATTTTTTGTTGGGAGGGGGAGTGGGGGATAGCTGAGCCCTCCTACCCCCCCCCCCCCTGTAGAACCACTACTGCTCCTAAACTCACATTATATTATCTCCTCGGTCTCCATATCAATGTGTAAGCCTGCAATGCTGATTTCCCCGATTTCTTCAAGAGACTGAGCCAAAATGTGTTTATTTGTCTTTTTACCCTTAAAGGTAATACAACGTTTTGGTATGGGGTCATGAATTTGGTTTAAATCAACGTATTGGAAGCATATGCGATCCTACAATATTCAGTGATCTTTGTCGAGGTTAAAATCGAGTCTAAAGTTGTGAAATTGTAAATAATAAACTCTTTATGCTGTATAGCTCCCTCTCAAGGTCAAGATATTAATCAAGCTATAAAACAATGTTTCTTGACTAAAATCGACTGACTAGCTTTTTCCGTTTGGAAATTATACATCACAACTACATATTCTGAGATTTTTATGGTCGCAGCTAACATTGTACAGCCGTAGGCGCTATTTGAAATTTATCAAAATTTACCGGGAGCACCGGTAAATTTTTATATTCAATTTTTCTTGAAAGCACCAGTGATTTAGGGGTTAATTTTTATAGTTATTATAATACATCCACAGGGGCATCCAAATATATCAAAATTGTAAAGAATCACTATCCACCCAATTTTCAAAATTTCTTAAAACTTTGTCCTCTTTATTTTCTTCTAATGGAAAGCAAATTGGCAACAGTATTATGCAATAGTTCAGTTTGCAGAAACCATTTAGGTGTGTATATACAAATTACCTTGTAAATAAACCCATTAGGAGTCACTCATTAGATCATGTCACCCATTACAGTACACTGTAACCAGGGAGGTGAGACTTTAAATGGAGATTCCGTCTCGAAAGAATTTCCCGAATTTTTACATAGCTAGGAAGGTAGTCCATAAGTTTATCTCTTAAAATAACTAAATGAAACTGTTTTATATATTTGCGCATTTGGTTTAATGAGGGTTAGAAGTTGTCAATTCATCACCACTTTTCACCCCGAGTACGGGCCGGCGACGCGAAAGCCGCCGTGCTCGCTGGGCTGTACATGCTGGATGTTGTTGGTGGAAACACACATAGCTGCATTACTACCCTGGCCGTGTATTCAAAGTTGTGCCATTGATTCTCAACATTTCAAACACCACTGTACAAAACTCAACCGATTTCATTCAAAGGCAGTACTATAGTGACGATTGATGACACCGAAAGAGCATTAAAATACAATTTGTTCAACTTTCTGATGTTAGAAAGAATAATTTAAAAATTAAAATTGTGAGTCTACTGTCAAACTTGCCGATCAACCGCATTGGGATGATTATGTGCATTTGTACTGTATGTTGTGAGTGTATTGACTATTCATGTATTCAAATGCTGCCTATTTACATGGAGCGGCCTACGCATTCACGATGAAACCATTTAACCGTACATTTTGGTTCGCTGCAACGAATAAGATTTTCCGTTGATGGAATTTCACACGTGCATAACTTGTATTGGTCTCCAACTTCCCATACACCAGGCTCAAGAATCAAATCTTCCTCAAAATCAGTCAGAAAGTCTAAATCGTCGCCTACCAAATACTCTTCCCTACTGTACGCCGCCATTTTTGTCGATAGCAGCCGATGTGTATTTCCAACAATGCATTTCGCGAGCCCTATGTCACTCAGTTTCGGAAGTGAGATTTACGAGCTGTGCGGTCCGGGTGGGGGATTAAGGGGATTATGATAGGGGTAAAAAAGACTCTCGGTGCAACGGACTGCTTCAAAGGGCCCTCTTAGATGCGGAATCCATTTAACTCACATGCCCTGCTGTAACTGTGGACGCAGTGGTAACTTTCATGATATCAGGGGTATTGAAATAATCTTTCACACTGATTTCAATACAGAAAGAGAAACTATGAAGATGAAGCAAATGACATGTCCCATGTTTTTGGTGTTATGGCAGCTAGTGAAACAAAATGGTGGCTTGGGAGCATTGTCAGGTTGTATCTGGCAGTTTACACATGTAGTTGCCCCCACCCCCCCCCCCCCCCAAAAAAAAAGAAGTAAATAAATAAAAAATAAAAAAAATAATAATAATAAATAAATAAATAACAAATAAATAAAAATAAAAATAAATACAAATAAATAAATAAATACTAAAAATGGGAGGCTTACCTGACAAAACCATTTTTGTAAAATGCTAAATTATGTTCTAGTATATATAAAAGACAAAAAGACAAACCAAAACCACAAACAACCCACAGAAACAACCTAATATATTCCCTTTCACATGCTTGTTTGTTCAACTTAATTGAAGAACTAGCAAAAAATGAAAAGGGACTGAGGGTTTGATCATTTGGACAGGGGATCATTTATTCATTTCCCCAACATTTCCACGAAGACCTGTTTCCTGTTCTATCCATACATTTTGAATGCTTTGATTAAATATAAAGCTTTAAAGTAGCTCCGTGAATGTACATGAATATACATGTACATACATGAATATACATGTAGTTCTATACACACTTCAGCAGTTTGCAATTTATTCTTGTGTAAGAATGGATCAATGGGTACTGACTGCTTGGCTGATATGCAGATAAAGCCACAATAAAGATGGAAAGGTTAACCTTACAGTTTTAATACTGTGTGTAAAATGCAACTTATTATAGGTTGACCTGACCTGCATTTTTAAAAACATAATACAGGTGTACACATAAGTACAGACCTACATTGTAGCCTTCCCTACATGCTTCATTGATTTATTTCATCACATATTTTCTATCTCTGATTATGTTAGATTCTACAAACATGAATGCATAGCATTGCTAGTGGGGATACTAGTAACAAATTTTCCCTTTTCCCCCTTTTTTTTCAATCCCCCCCCCCTTTTCATCCCCCCCCCCCTTTTTCCTTTTTCCCATTTTTTTCTTTTTCCCCTTTTTTTCTTTTTCCCTTTTTTTTCTTTTTCCCCCTTTTTTCTTTTTCCCCTTTTTTTCTTTTTCCCCTTTTTTTCTTTTCCCCTTTTTTTCTTGTTTCGAAATAGTATAAACCCACATCTGTTTTTGCTATTGAAACAAGATAAAGAATAAATAATGTAGAATTCTCTTTCACATCCTGGTCATTGCATCAGAGTTATTTTTACCATAAATCACATGTAGATCAAAGTTGTTTTTCAAAATATACAATACTTTTGATACTTTCACTTTCTCTGTAGGAGACAATGAATCCTGTTTTCAATGTATGAAACTGGTTTCTTTTAAAGCAATAAATTTGTATTTTAAGATTTTTGTAAACAATTTGATTGAAGTACTTCCTCTTATAAAGATCTTCTATAAATTTCTGTATTAAAGGAAACCTAAACCCAAATAATAAGTGTAGGTATTCTGAAAAATGAGATGTATTCCTGCCCTTTAATGTACAATATTCCTTACGAAAATGTACAAGATATATATAAATGAAGATATTCCTGGCATGATGTGATGCCTGTCAGCATGACATGGGCGCAGCCATTTTCTTAAAAATGTGACGTATCTGTTGAAGTTGTACATGTATCATGCACCAAGCTTTAGTTGGAATGAATTTTTAAATCAATAACGAAACCTTTACTTTTCAATGAAAAACAATAACAACTGAGATGATAGAAATTATATTAGGTGAAAAATAAATAACAGGGGCACAATTGTAACAAATTCTTTAAATACTACAATATAGCAGTTGACAAATCTA